GTGTCCCCGTGTGCCCGTGTCCCCGTGTGCCTGTGTCCCTGTGTGCCCGTGTCCCTGTGTCCCTGTGTCCCTGTGTGCCTGTGACTTGTGCCCCTGCCCCCTTATGCCTGTGACTCTGTGTCCCTGTGCCCCTGCCCTCATGTGCCTGTGACTCTGTGTGCTTGTGCCCCCGTGACTCTGTGTCCCTGTGCCCCTGTCCCTCTGTCCCTGTGTCTCTATGCCCCTGTATCTCTGTCCCCGTGTCCGTGTCACCGTGTCCCTGTCGTCATGTACTTTTGTCTCTATGTCTCTGTAGCCCTGTCCCCGTGTCCCTGTGTCTCTCTCTCCCCATGCCCCTACCCCCATGTCCATGTCCCTGTCCTCCTTTGTCCCTCAGTCCCTGTGTCCCTATCCCTGTGTCTCTATATCTCTATGTCCCTGTATCCCTATGTCCGTCCCTGTGTCCCTGAGTCCCCATTTCCCTGTGTCCTTGCCCCCATGTCTGTGTCCCTGTCCCTCCGTCCCTCTGTTCCTGTCCCCTTGTACCTGTGTCCCTTGGTTCCTGTCCCCATGTGCCTGTATTCCTGTGTTTCTACGTCACTGTACACCTGTCACCATGTCCCTGTCCCCATGTCCCTGTGTCCTTGTATCCCTATGTCTGTGTCCTGGGGTCCCCGTTTCCATGTGTCCCCATGCTCCTGCCCCCATGTCTGTCCCTCTGTCCCCATGTCCCTGTCCCCTTGTCCCCAGGACCCTGTCCCCGTGTGCCTGTATCCCTGTGTCACTATGTTCCTGTGTCCCTGCCCCTGTGTGCCTGTGTCCCTGTGTCTCTATGTCCCTGTGTCCCTGTGTCTCTATGTCCCTGTATCCCTGTCCCCATGTCCCCATCCCCGTCTTCCTGTAAGCCTGTGTCTTTATATCCCTATGTCCCCGTGTCCCTGTTCCTAGGCTCATGTGCCTGTGTCCCTGACCCTCTGCAACTGTGTCTCTGCATCCCTGTGTCCTTGTGTCCCTATGTCCCTTCCTCATGTACCCCTGACCCTATTTCCCTGTCCCTGTGTGTGCCTATGTCCCTGTATCTCTATGTCCTTGCAGCTCCATGTCCCTGCGTCTCTGGGTCCCTGTGTCCCTATGTCATGTCCTGGTGTCCCCATGTCCCCGTTTGCATATGTGCCTGTGTCCCTGTGTGCCCATATCCCTGTGTGCCTGTGTCCCCTTGCTACAGTCTCTATGTCTCTGTCTCTGTATCTGTGTCCCTATGTGCTTGTGTCCCTGTGTCAGTGGGCTTCTATCACCATCCCTGTGTCACTGGGTCACTGTCACTGTGTGCCTGTGCCCCTGCTCCTGTATCAGTGTCACTGTGTCCCTGTCCACCTATGTCCAAGTTCCTAGTCACTGTCCCTGTTTCACCAGCCTTGTGTCCCTGTGTCACTGTCAGTGTACCTGTCACTATCACTGTCCCTGTCACTGTCACTATGTCCCTGTCCCTATCATTGTCCCTTGTCACTGACTCTGTCCCTGTCAGACATATCCCCCAGCACCCCTCACACACTCCGAATACGTTCTCCCTTCGATACCAATCATGGCAATCCTGCACTCCTTGAGACCACAGAATCCCGGGATCTTTGGTTTTGGAAGGCACCTCTGTAGATCCCGAGCCCCGAGGGCTGTGGGGGGGGAAGCGTGTGGTGTAATCAGAGCGACTTAGTAATGCCCTCTTTAATCATTGTAATGCCCTCGTTAAACACCGTCCCGGTGTTTCTGCATCCCGCGGCGTGTCCTGCACAGCTGCAGGCGTCATCCCTGAGACTCGGAAACGTGGCAGGAAATAATTCCAGCAAGTCCGTAAGTCCTGATATGTTGGGAACACCTGGGAGATTCGGAAGTTAAGCATTCACCGTAGAGCTGCTCATGGCACAGACTCAGTCCCAGAGCCGATAGCAAGGAAATGTGTGAGAAGTCTACCCGCACCACCACCCAAATCGTGGGCATGGACTCAGGAAAAAGAGGCATCATGCCACCTCAGAAGCATTTATCATATTAGGAGAGATTAAGAGATTTAGCTAGAAGCAGAACCACACATTCAGGGATCCACAATTATTTTTTAAACCAGTACTTTGTGAAGTGTTTCTCACCAAATATCTAAAAGAATTTTCTCGTCAAGGAAGGTGAACACATTATTTGTGGTGTCAGCATGAAGGAAAGCACTAACAAAATCCGTACTTGAGCAAAGACAAAACCTTCCCCGTGTTGGGCTGCAGGCAGAATCCAGAGCCCGCTCTGATTTCCTGCATGGCTTGAATCAATAGCTTTCACCACCCAACAGCTGCTTCTGGAGGGGAAAAACATTCAGAACTTGTATTTCCAGGAGGGGGGAACACATCCAGAACCTGTATTTCTAGGGAATAATGTGCTTTGGCAGCACAGCTCCTGAAAGACACCTAGAGGACACCACATAGCTCTCAGGCATTGGGACACAGCAGCCGGGAACAGGCAGAGCAGTTTTGGACGGAGTACAGGAAAGCATAAGGATGCAGGCAAGGGCAGTGAGCATCTGCCTTGGATTTGCAGGAAGAGTGGTACATGGGAAAAAGCTCCAAGACTCCAGGGCTGAAGGAACCAGCAGGCTGGAGGCCTTACAAAAGACAGGAAAAGGAATGCTGACTGCCCTAAGTACCACAGAATTAGTAAACTGAGTTGGGAGACACCAGACATTTGTAAATGTCTGGATGAAGCAAGTGGCATCAAGGGAGAAGGCTGGGGATACATTAATTATTTTAATGGGGTGAAATTACAGAAGGGCATGTCTAAGCTGAGAATCCATGTGGAAAGCTTTTAAATGGAGAACCACAGGTTGGAAAAACAATCTCCCTAAGGGGAGTCGTGAAAGCTTTATTGCCCGAGATTTTAAATGACAGATTAGGGGAAATACCAAGGGACTCATTCTGAAACTTCAGGGAGATTGCACTGAAAGATTAAGAAGGGAAGAGGAAAGGCTGGAGGTGGTGCTGGCTCCAGGAATTTTGGGAGTACAGCCCAGCACATCTTCTAGGCTCCTCTGGCTCCATGTTATCATTCTTTGACTGTATCTGCCAGGAGTGCAATGATTTCAGTGTTAGTTACCGGACAAGGACGTGATAAGAACTCATCAGCCAGGAATAAACATGATTGAGCAAAGGGAATCTCAGTCCTTCCCCAAGGACAATGGGAGGAAATCAACTTAGTCCTGGAGTGTGACCTTGAGCCACATTCTCTTATGAAAGTAAACCCTGCTCCCTTCTCTTTCCCCAGCCCCAGACCTAAAGTTTCCCTCCACCTCCAGGCTATAGAATGACTTTTCAAGAGCTCATCTCAGAGGCATCCATAGACACATTACTAAGCATCCTCTGCAAAGGAAGCTTCACCTTCCAAGCAATATTTAAACAACACCCATTTTCCAAGTCTCTGAAATCCCAGGTGTGGTGCTGAGAACCAGCCAAGCCATCCCCCTGCTGCTCTGGAGGTCACCCAGGCTCCCCTGCAGCACAGTAGTGGCCAAACAGAAACCATGGAAAAGGTGTCCAGAACACCATGGTGTTCATCCACCCCCAAGGAACAGCCAGAGTCTCCTTGGCATGGAAAAGAAATAAAATATTTCCTCACTGCTAGGTTTTATCAGCCAACATAATCTAATTAACCAGCACAGCTGTTTCATTAGCATTAGAGACATATTTATCAAGGGGCTAGAGGAAGCATTTATTAGATTAGTTTGCACTTTTGGAGTTGCTGGATGTTTTTTACTAGAGTTTATGCAGTTCAGGACAGTGCAGTGCTGAAGGACTTCAAGGGAGAGAGAGGCAGCTCCATGTCCTTCCATGTAGGTGGTACCTGGCAAAGACGGTAATCATACACACTCTCATTGGTAAAAGCCTCTGCTTACTCACATGGGGTATTTTTCTCTAGAATAAATATTTGTGATTTGGAGAAGGAGAAACACAGCATAGTGCTGAAATTCTTTAGAGAAGTGAGCATTTAACAAAATAAGTAATGTTTCTGAAGCTACTAACAAGCTACTAAGCGACTGCTTGCTTGCAGGCAAAGTGAAGAATTTCCTGCAAGGTCACAGAGACTAGGATCACTATTGTTTCACTGCTGACCATGTACTTCAAAAATTCAAATAATAGCTTAGAAATACAAAACATTTCCCAGACCTCTATGACCTATTCATTTCTAAATTTGAAGCATCTTTTACACACTTACCATTTGACACATAAAAGTTTGCTTATAAGTACCCAAAACAGCATTGAGGATCAAAGTACTTGGAGTGTTTTACTGGAGGTGTTACCAAATGCAACCGGCTCACTTTTAAAATAAATATTGAAACTAAATGGTTTTAGTTATTTTTAATTAAAGACCAAAGGACTTATATAAATGAAAGGAGATTTTTGAATAGTTTCAGTCAAAGGAAGACTGGAAGGAACAACAACAGTCAGAGGAAGACTGGAAAGGAACCACAATGAAATGTTTGCAACAGATGGAGTATTTCTATAGAACTAGCCAAAATATACAGCTAAATGAGATTCCAGCCCCACCTCTTGATTCAATGCATTTAAAGTAAAAAGATATATATGTCAGCTTAGAGGCCCTAAATTTGCCTGATGGATTCTGTATTTCTCTAGCATTGCATTTTAATTATTCTGAGTTTAGTATCTGAATGTTTTCTTTTAAATAGATTTACAATACTATGCTAGTCTGCAGATGATTTTTTTTTCCCTAAAGGAGTTATTATTTTGCATATTGGCCTGGTAAGAACAGTATGTCAATTTGTGGTAAAATGTGTATGAGTTTTTGCTTGAGGCTGATCCCCATTTTTCACATCTAGTTCATAATTTTAATGACTTTTTGTGTGTGTGTTTTTGGTGGGGTTTTTTATTTTTTTTTTTTCCATTTTGTTTTGTTAGGGTTTTTGGTTTTTTGTTTTTGTTTTTTCCGGGTGTAATTCCTCATGTTTTCCAGGAGGAGGAATTGAGTACACAGCAATAAAACACAAACATCTCTTGTACATCTTTGTGAAAATGGAATTTCTGCAGCTCAGCCTGGCTTTGCATCTGTTGTCATCTTGCAGGTGTTAACACAGGTGTCTCCAAAACTCAGTCCGGGAGCTCAGACTGGAGCAGCTGATGTCTTCTGCAGGGACAATGTAGCAGTGGAGGCCTCCCCAGCCTCATGTCCCTCTCAGTTGGGTGATTATTCCATATTATCCAACAGCCAAGGGTCCAGCTGGCAGCCACCCTCTGTGATTCTCATGAAAACACTCAACAGCTGCCAGGGCAGAGGGGGAAGCCCAGAATCAGAGGTTTTCTAAGCCAGCCTGGTGTGCTCCTGTCTCGGCAGGACTTCAGCAATCTGTTCCTCCTCCACCATCCCACCCCCACATGGGAAAAGCTGGTCTGTCCCAAAATACCAGAAGGAAAGGGTTCCCTCAAGGCACTCTGCCCATGTGAAACCAAAGAGCTGAGAAACCTTCCCAAAGGGCTCCACAAATCTCGTTTATTTGACTTTTCCCGATTTCCAACCAAGAGCTGGGCAGTCAGACCTGACAGCTGTCCGCTGATTTAGGCTGCATGCACTGGGGACGGCTCAGCTGTGACACATGGCGCAGATGCAGCTGCTGGGGATTTTTTTTCCTCCTTGAGTTTCCAGTACTAGGAAGCAACACGTGGCTGTGTTTGGGCAGCTCTCCAGACAGTTTGGCCCTGCTGCTCTCTAGATTCAGGCTCTTCAGGTGCTGTGAAATAGCAGCAGCTGGGGAGCGGTGCAGCTGCTCCATGGGCGCAGGGAGAACAGCCGCAGGCTGCACAACTGGTGCAGCACTTCATGATGAGGTGGAGCCATGGAAGTGCCAGAGTGCCCAGGAAATCCTCCCAAGCCTGGAGTTATGGCTACACGTGTGAGATAAAAAGTCTTCTCCTAATCTTAGCTGACTTAAGTCTTGAGGCTCTCATTAAAAATTAGGGCTGGTAGAACTCTCAAGCCCTCATCTATCCCGTCTTTGTATCCCAAAGAGTGATCAACACTCCCTCACATTTTAAACACTCGAGCAAATAATTTCTAACTTGCTTTTAAGAGCTTCCAATGATTAAGATTTCTCAATTTCCAGGCTATGACCTCCAGTGACTTACACAGGCTTTCTTGTTAGACCATTCTTTGATGTCTACTCAGCCATGTTCTGATGTCTTCCAAGATGACAACTTCTTTCCCCTACCACAACAGGAAAATCAGATTATATATTGTTCTTTCCAAGTTCAAACACCATTCCCATGGGTTTTGTGTAGGTTTTATTCGTAAGCTGTAGCTGTACCTGTAATCATCCCTGCACTATGCTGCCTGCTCCAAATTTCACATCAGTTACCCCTGAGGTAATTTCTCTTGAGCCAGTTTAGCCCATGAATTTTCCACTTGCTTTTGCCCTCATTTCCTACCCCAGAAGAAATGAAGACAAATAGCCCCAAAACTAAGGCAACTCACCTGTTCCTCACAGCTTGATTTAAAAACCTGGAACTAAACAGCAACTCCTTCTGCTGTATAAAAAAGGCTGGAGATTCCCATGGGCAGTGGCTCTCTGGGCATCTCTCTGCTCTTCCCAGGGGAAAAAAGGAGAGGACAAGGTCACACTTGTGGTGTTTTATTGAAAACCAGTATAATTTTGAATGTCTCTTCTTGCAGATCAGTGTAAAATCAACTTTTGCAGTGAAGCAACAGTTGTCATGGCCATAATCTCTTGCAATTCCAATTGCAAACAGATTATCACTGAGAACACCACTCTTTGCCTGGATGCTTTCCAGAACAAACAGGCCCATGCTCAATGTCCCCAGGTGCTACCACTGTTGTTATATTTTGCTTTTTCCCTATCCTATACAGGAGATTTTTTCCCTCCTATACAGGAAATTTTCTAATTTTTTGCTTTGGTATCAAATGGCTTCTAAAATCTGGAGCGTGCAAACCACTTTATAAAGTGCGGAAGGCTGGTGTGAGGACAGCATGGAAATAAGAGGGCTAAGGGAACCCTGGAGGAAGATGACATTTGAAGTAGAATTGTTAATCTGACTTCAAAATCTTCAGGTCCCACAGGGGTTCTGTAAAAATACTGTTTTCAGATCTAGAAAGGTCTGTGTGAGGTTTTTGTTTTGTTTTGTTTGAAAACTATGCACTATCCATAGAGCTGCTTTACAGGTATGTATCACAGAGTGAAAAATAACTCATAAAGTCAACAGCAAGTTTGGAGGCTATTTAATGAAAAATAGGTGAAGTTTACAAACAGAAGGCCAACGGAGAGAAGAACAAAGCAGAAACCTGCCAAGGTACAAGTAAGAATTCTGAAGTGCACATTGCTAGAGCAAGTAAGTAGGCAACAGAAGGAAAATCATGTTCCATGTAGGCCACTTCAGGTGAGCTGGGGTTTGCTGGGCTATGTCAGCTCGAAAGGCACAGCCTCAATCTCCCTTGTGAGCTCTTCATCCAAGGCTTTCTACCAGGAGAGAAAACAAGAGGAATCAGGGACCACGAGACAGCTTCCACACACACACTGCTGGTAAACAAACACATCTGCAGTGATCAAACCCTGGGAGGTTGTCAGCAGTGAGGGATTAACGCCAGTTGAACTGGATGGACTCCTCACTGCAAAGGGCAGACAGCCACAGGGAAACCTCCAAACAAAGGCGGGCTGGACAAGCTCAGCTGCCTTTACTCTGTGCCCCAATGTGATTTTGGACACATCCCAACTCAGAGGTCCTCCCCAGAGGTGAGCATTCTGACCTCAGAACAGTCTTAGGCTGGTAAAGGGAGCTTGTACTCCTGAATCTAAAACAAGTGGTCTACCAACCCAGGCAGTCTCACCTGAAAATGTGCAAAATGCTCCTACCTAGATGTGATTTTTGATCACAGGTTTAAGGCTTACCACTTGTGCTTTACAAGCAAGCAGGCAGTAGCCCCAAGGAACAAAAACATGTTTTATGGGGCTCAACGTGGCCCAGATCACTCTGGAAAGCTAACTGTGAACTTCCCAAACAGCTTTATGGTGTTTGGCTCAACAGCCACACCTGCAGATTACACAAACATGGAGGAAATGGGCACTATGTTTTACAGGGGAACGTCCCCATTGCAGTCTACAAGGCACAAGTTGACTAAAATAAGTCTGGAGCCCTCTGAGAGTTCAGGAAGAGCAAGGAAGCTTCTGAGGCCTACAGTGAGTGAATAAACATTCCAATAGGCAAAATTCATTGGGATATAGCTACCTAATCTTCACTGATATCACTGTGCCCAACCGCATTTGCAGCTCAGATATCACAATTTTCTCCTGATCAGTATCTACAACTTCTGCCTCATCAAGTTTCCCCATGAGAACATTAAGAATACAGTCTAAGGTGGGAAAATCTGTAATCAATTAATACATACTCCTGGAAAGATAAAAAAACTCTTACAAGTTTTCTTCTCTCTTCTTCAACCATCACTTGTGCCAAGGGAATGCTCTAATGAGAGAAAATGGCATAAAAATCAGCATTTCATCAAGAAACAAGAGTCCTTGCAACTTTACAAGAATCTAATTACGAGCCTCAGGTGAATTAATGGACAATTAATGCAATTTTGTGTACGCACTTCACATGCAGAAGGTATTGCCATTAAGTCTAGTGTTGGTTTGGTTTGGGCAATCATGCATTTTTCAAAAGTCTGGTATGGCCTAAAGTCTAAACAAACCCCTTCATCTTAAGCAACTTTCCAAACCTACCAATCAAGGGACTTGATTTCAAGCATATTTATACAAAAAATTTCCAAAGCACAATAAGTTTGCAATGATAAACCTCCCTCCCCTTCTTCTGCCTGCACCAGGGGCTCTCCCTGTCTCCACTGACAGCAAGGCTGGAGGAGGGAACTGGAGAACCTAATCCCATTTGAATGTCCTGTCCACTTGAAGGAAGGAGAAAGCTGCCTCTTGTAAGAATATGGATTAAACAGACCAACAGTACCACCTTTCTAGGCACAGCTTTTTTTTTTTTTTTTCTAGGAGTAAGACATCAGTGTTTGTATGAGGGAGACAAGAAACTTGCATTTTCATAGAGCTGAGTACCCAGCATCCTCAAGAGAAATCAAAGAACATTATGGAGCAGCCAGTTTAGGGGACAAAACCTACATTTGGCTATTTCTTCAGGATCCTCAAGATCCTGTTCAGAACTCCAAACTCTGCACCACATGCTGTGTCCACCATATTGACAGCCTGATAACAGTTACTAAAGTACTGGTAAATCTTACAAAGTTGATTATACTAGGGGATTCCTGTTCTTCTATATTTCTTTGTCCAATTTCCAGCTAATTCACCTGAATGCTAATTTACCCAGAAAATCTGTCTACTTTGTTAGAACAAAGTTTGCCTGACAAGAAAACTTAATTTCTCGGCTTTGATTAATAAATAGAGATCAAGTCTTTGGTTTTCATCATTAACAGACCTGTAGGACATCTACCAGTCCACCAAAGGGATCACAACAATATCCCCTACATTCTGAAGTCCACTAAAATTAACCTGATGGCAGATACAATATAACAGTGGAATAAATAGTTACAGGAGGTAAATCATGATATGATGCCCGTTCCATCTTCAATGGCTCATTTTTTTTACGCAGTGCAGCCAGTTCCTGCAGAGGGAGAAAGGTAGATCATATTCTAGGGAATTATTTGTAGAATTGATGGAAATGAGTGAGACAGATCCACAGTTACCTACAACATTTCAGAATTTGAGAGCTTTCATCCTCTATAAAACACATGGAAAACCAAAGTTTTGCAGACACAGCAGCAAAAAGACTCTCCCCTGTGCTTATCAAGTGGAAACAATTTCTTTCTGGGGCTGCAAACTGGGTACCTTCCACAGTCCTGAACTCTTTTCAAATAATCCAAGTTAAATAAAAAAGATAAACTATTTTGTGCTGCCAATTTCACTGATGTCTTGGCAAAGGAGTTCTATGAATGTCAGGGAGTCAAACCGTACCTTATGCTTGGGCTCTAGAAGATGACAAGCCTAGCAAATTTGCCTGTTGCTTTTTGGATACAAAATTTCAACAAAAATTAGCGCCGGTCAGTACCCCCGTGCAGCACTGGGCAATGTGAGTGAGCACTGCCACCCAGTGCTGGTTGGTGAGAACCACAACAGAGAAACCAGGAAATCTATTTTCACTGCTCCACTCGAAAACATAAAGGAAAAATAAAGGAAAAGATAGCAAAAGTAATGAGGAGAAAGACTGATTCAAGACAATAACAAGACAATAACAGCAAAAAATATGAAGATGTGTTGAGTGCACAGCACAAAGCTGTAAAATCTGTGGTTAATAATTCAAGGAATGTGCTTTTTCTTTAGCATATGTTCCACTAGGCTTACAATAAAGCTGAATAATGTTATATTTAAAGACACAACAAAAAACAAAATAGCACACAGTGATTCTGTATTTGGGTTTCATTTGACCTTATCCCCTTGTTTGGAAGTGTTTGGAAGATATTTATTTCACACAAAATAGAAAGAATCACATGGGTGATTCTATCTATCTATCAAGAAACTGCAATACACAGGTAGCCATGTAATGGGATATAGTCCACAGAAAATCCACTCTGTTTTTAACATGGATCAGAAATAAAGGTGGCAGATCTGTTTGCAGTGGCAGGGAATATATTCAGTGGAAATTCTGCAGTAGACACCTCTAGGAGAGATAAACCCACCCAAAAGAGCCCAGTACATGGGAATCCACCTACAGAATTTTTATTTGTGCTTTCTTTGGCCATTAAGATTTGTTCAGGCAACCAAACAGCAAACTACAATTCCTGAAAGCACGCAACAAGCAAACCTGGCCTGTCCCACTGAAGCAACATCCCACTTATATCCAAAAACCTACCTCAGACAATTTCATGAGTGCCTCATGTGTCAGGGATTGATCCAACCCCCTGGCAACAAGCTGATCCTGCAAACAGGAAAGGGCACAAAATGCAACAAGAAGGAGAAAGATTTCACCATTTCCTTCTGTTTATATCTAAACAGGCAGGGAAGAATGCAGCTTGTCCACAGCAGAAACATGTGCTATTGGAGCCACAATTATAGCTGGTGTACAAAATGAGGTGCTGCTAAAATTTGTATTAAGAATAACAAGTCTTTCCAGAAAAGCAGTGGGAGAATGGCACACAACAAGACTGAAGAAAGATACCCAGGAAAATGTCAATTGTAATATAACATTTTCCATCTCATGTTTGTCAAGGTATCAGGTATGGCTTTATTTTAGACATAAAGTAACCTGCCAGAGTTTCTCAGGGAATGAGGAGAGAGCACTGTACTGACCACAGGATGCATTGAGGAAATATCAGCAGGGACAACTGAACGAAATTCACATGTTGTCATGTTAACTCAAGAGTCCCCAGTACTGGAGTTTAGGAAGCTTATGGAATGCCTCTGTAACTACAAATTTGGGCTCAACCAATCACAGTGATCCCATAACAGTGTCATGTAAGAAAATTCTTTCCACCTACCTCAGCATCGCTGATCCTTATTCTCATATCCTTACACTTAGCTTCCAGGAATTTCAGGTTCTTGGATTGAGCCTCAGCTTTGGCCTTTTGTACTTCCTGCGATTTCTCCAGTTTTTCAATATCCCTTAAAAAATAATACAAAAAGAAAAAAACTGTTACATTCAAAGATGTATCAGTATACAAATACTGATAAATACTGTTACTTATCTATGCTCAAACCCTGCAATACAACCAACACAAGGAAGAAAATGGAGAAAACCTCATATTTCCCTGTGAGATTTTCCAATGGAAACATATAGAGCTGTTACCTCCAGAACCCCACAGACCAGGGAAAATAGTGGCAAAAAGGAAAGCCATATGCCTAAAAGCAAAGGATAATAATCTTGTACATAGTTCCCTAACTCACTTAGAGACCTGTTACACAAGCTAAACCTCATATCAAGAGGAGGCAAACCTACACAAAGCACATAGGAATATCTTTTACAAATCCAATTAACATTTTAAAAGACAAAAAACAAACAAACAAAAAAAACACACACAAAAAAAAAACCACTCCACAAATAATTAGACTGGAAGGGAGCTGTGGAGAGCATGTGAGCCAACATCCACTCAAGGCTGGGGTTGATCATGCTGTGCTTGGTAAAGCACTCCAGACTACATCCTCCAGGGGATGGACTTGACACTGATTTTTTTTAGTTATTACAATTATTATGTCTTCTACATACTGGTTAAGGGACCTTCTTACCTGAGAATGGTTTTTGTTTTGCCTCCCTCAGTCTGACTACGGAGGCCATGCTAAATGTGCTAAGAAACTCAGATTTGTCTCCAGCCTCAGACAAAAGCAGCTGGTGGAAGATGGAAACTTGTATCTGAAAACAGCTTATAGATCACTTTTGCTTTGAAAAGAATAGGTTTGATGCTTTCCCAGATCTCTTTTGACTACAGCAAATATCCATAACATATGGGTTTTAATAGATACTTCCAAATATTTAGAATTGGAGATGTGTCAAATGCCTTAAAATTCAGTTTCCTTGTTAGTTACCACAACCAATGTTGCCCAAGACAGTGATCACCAGTATTACTTTAATCTTTCCCTCTTCCTCATCCATTACTCACTTCTCTAATCGCTTTTCCATCATCAGTGCTGAAGTTAGTTTTTCCTTGAGAGTCTTATATTTCAGTTCCATTTCTTCGTTTTCTGATTTTGTTTCATACAGTTCCAAGGTCATGTCATCGATGGCACAGTAGAAGCTGGTGAAGAGAGAATCAGTGGGAATGCTTAGAAGTCAGCTCTTCTGAAAGTCAGAGTAATTGTTACTCTTTTCTCCTCTTTCTCCACATTTTAAATGAATTACTTTCTTTCCTCTTCATGTTATGGCAGGAGTAAATTTAAATAAGATGCTAAGGGAATTTGCTTTCCATAACTATCACAGATTTCCACATGGAAGGGAAAACAGCCCAGCAACCTGAGTAAGAGTAAGTGAACAACAACTGGCACTCTGGTGAATAAAACCACCACATGCTCCACTCCTGTCTTGCCTCACTGCCTTTGAGAGAAACTTTATTCAGTCCCTGAAAATGCATGGTTACAAGATGTGTCCAGTAGCATCTGAGTATCTTCCTCTTCCCAAGTGGCCCAAAGCTCTCCCCCCTCCAGCTCAGAAAGAGAGATGTAAGAGCCAAGATCCTAAATATCACATAAAAATTGGATTCCAAGGCATATTTTGCCATTCTAACTGCAATTGCTGCACTGCCATGGGCTAAAGCCATGCTAGGGAGAGCGGCCCAAGGAGACCAGACTAACAGATGCCATTTCTCCATGGCAGAGACAATCTCCTCGCATGAACTGAGACCAGATGAGACAAAGATGAGGAGCTGAGGCTGGAAGATCAGTCACAGTTCCCAGTCTTTGCCTAAGCAGTAGGAACACTGCTGTAGCCTGGGATACCTGGCACAACAGTCCAACTGGCAACAGCCTGCAGCTACTGACCACAAAATCATGAGAAAAAGGAGAGATTTAACTCTATCCCAGGCCCTTCCAAAGCTGCCCAAGGGGTGAAAAATAAGCCTGACAAATAAGATTCCTAGTGCCAAGTTTGAAGCTGCTGATGCAAAACAACAGAGGAAAACAGCACAGACCCTCACCACGAATACAGATTGTGAAGAATTACCTGCTAAGAGACGTGTCCTCCACTTCAAGTTCCACAGCACTTTCTACCAGGTCAGAGAGGTCTTTCGTGGCCTCTTCGGACAGACTGCCCTTAGAAAGACCCAGGCTTTTTTCAAGAATATCCTTCCAGTAGTCAGCTGGAAAATATATACAACCCAATGTAGTGATTTTTTTAATATTACTGTTCTTTTATGGAACTCTTCAAAGCCAGAACCCAATCCAACACTGGGAACTTGGCTACCTGCCTGTTGTTGGAGGAAAAAGAGACACTTTTAAAAAAGGCTTACTCATGTCAAACTGCTGACACATCTCTATTTGTCAAACAAATTCAGTGTATAAAGGGAGAAAGCACTGCTCCACTCCCTCCCTGACCAGTCTGTCTGACATCAGACAAACAAGAGCTCACCCTTGTGCTACAGCGATGAGCACCTGCAGGTCACCTCCCCACAAAGCTCAGCCTGAGCCTTGTTCATGGCAAAGCCACGAAATCTGCCTCCATCATTTTTTGTTTGGTGGTAAGGCACTTGAAGGAAGAAAAGCCAAACATGTTTCCTTTCAAAAACATCTTAATGTGTACTATGTACTATGTGTACTATGCCTGCTTTTGCACAGAAAAATAAAATTCCTTCCTGAGAAAAGCCTGTGAAGTGACAGTCCTTTATTATATGTGTTAAAAACATACTATGGTCCCCTGAACCACTCACTTGCTCAAAAAAACCCAAACAAATTATAAAATAGTCACTCTAGGCAGCTTCAGCACTACTTAATCATCTCAATGTTGTTTCAGACTCCTCCAGGGCTTTCCTTAACAGTGGCTTAGCACCAGCTCAGACTCTTGAATGAGCTGCAGGGACACTTTCTTCTATCCAGGCGCTGTTGCATCCAGCTCAGCAGACTAGGAGGTTTTAGCAATTAACCTGCTTGTCCACATTTATGTCTTGCTCAAGATAGCTTAAAAAATTGTCCTTGACCAATCTTACGTCACTGTAAGTTGTAGTAAAAATCACATTAAAAAAAAAAAAAAAAAGCGGAGTCTGTTTTGATTACATATATTTATATACATTCCTAAGTTTTTAACAAATACAATCTTCAGGATCACTCAGAACAGCCTGACTCAGGTGGAACTGAGAAATGGAGCTTCAAACTCACCTTCTGCTTCATACTTGGATGTCTGGTCCTTCATGTCCTCTATCAGCAACATAACATCCCTGTCTGTCTCTTCATTGAACTCCATAACTTCATGCAAAATATCCACTGTCCTTTCATTCACCTCATATACTGGAATAGGCACATTCTCATATAATTTCTTTAGCCATAAAGTAACCTGCCAGAGAAGGGAGACAAAAGAGCAAGCAATCATGTGAAATGACAGAAAATAGCTGATACACGTGAAAAATGTAAATCAGTGCAAACTCTGCATTCCTGAAGAGCAACTTCTACGTCAGTCCAGGAGGTATGGGTGGGAAAAGGGGAGAAAAAATTTTTTTCCTCTTCTTTAAACACCGTCTGTTGAGAAGACTATATTATATCCTTTTTAATCTCCATCATTTCTTTGGACACCTGCCTATCTCCATGTAATAAAATTTTGCCTTTTTATTCATGTGACCTGCTGGCTAGAGACGTAACAACCCAAGAGATGTTAATTGGGTGTTGGGAAGAATGGTGAACACTGTGTTAAAGCATGTGGGGTAAAAGTGCCTGAGACATCACTGGGAACAGTCTCTCTTACAGGAGAGTGGGAGAGAGCCACCACAATGTGCAGCCACAAGCCCTGCAAAGCAGCTGTACCATTGGAAAAAGGGTCAGAAATAAGAGATCAACACAGTGGTCTCAGGAAGGGCTGTGATTGTGGCTGGAAAAGCCCTCCAGGGTCATTGTGTCCAACCATTCCCACAGCACTGCCCAGCCCAGCCCAGCACTGCCCAAGTTCCCAGCTGCCATATTCATACGGCCTGTAAATCCATCCAGAGATGGGGACTCCACACTACTGTGGGCAACTGTGCCAGGCCTGGACAACCCTTTGCGTGAAGAAATTTTCCCTAATATCCAACCTAATTAGATTAGAAAGGTTAGATATGACCAGTAATGACTGAAAAACATGGAAGTTCTGTTGTGGACAGGCTTAGAAAGAAAACTTTAAAATAACAAAAAGGAGGCAGGTTGATTAAAAAAAAAATAAGCCTGTTTATTACAGAACAAACAACTGGAATCAAAGCCTCCGGCTAGTCCAGAGACTGTTTCAACAACTTAGTAACTAAACAATTGTAACCTAGGAGTGTTTCCTAGAAAACCCTGAGGAAAGAGCTGTGTGTCAGACACCCCAAGCCTTTTAAAGTTTCCTTCAATGAGCTGATTGGAACGCCCAACATCCACGCTGTGATAGGTCTATTTTGTAGTCTCTGACTGGCTTATAACTTGGGTCATCCTGGACCAATCATTTTGCCATTGTTGTTGCTAATTGGCTCTCCTCCAATCTTGGCTTAAGTTGTGGCTGTGCCTCATGATGTAATGTATTCTGGAACTTTGTCATTTTATGAAGATTACCACTCCATCTCCTCCCTGGTTCCACCCCCGCCGTTGGACACGTACAACCACCCTTGGCTGTTAATATAACTATTCCTGCATTTGTAACATGTATCTATAGCATCCTAATTGCAACCTGTTACTTGTACTCACTACACCCAACCTTTATCACACTTCTGTTACTTGTATTAAAACCACTGACCTTCTAATCACAGTTTGTTACTTGTATTAACAACATTTAACCTTGCATACATTATTATTTACATGCCCCAAAAGTTCCAATTTTATTTTCGTTCACAACAGTTCTACACCACGTAAGGAACATAAATTCTTGCATAAGCCTACCTAATAAACCTGACGGAGAATGAATGCAGCTATTTATACTATAACTTTAAGTGTGTTTTTTCTCCTAGCACCTCCTCCCTCATCCTGCTGCCGTACCGGCACCTCAGCAACCTACACAAGCAGCAATGGAGAAAACCTCCGCACCACAAGACGCAAACAGCACGAACAATATGTATGTGTGTATGTGTGTGTGTGTGCGTGCGTGTGTGTGTATGTGTGTGTGCCTGTGTGTGTGTGCGTGCAGAGAACCGTGGTGAGAGGAGAAAGCGACCCCGCCGGGCCCGGTTACCCGTGTGAGCTTCTCCTGGAAGGGATCGCCGCCCGCAGCTCCCGCCGCCGCCATCCCGCCCGGAGCCTGACGGGAGTGGGCGGGGCGGCGCAGGGCCGCGGGGTTACACCGGGGGGGGAGTAGTGATGGAAAAAGTGTTTAACAGTGAATCGCGATGTTGAACGCTCTGAACCGAGCCGGCTCCCACTTAAGGGAGGATGTTAAAAAACGCCAAGCGAACCCCAACAACATAAAAACCAAACAGAAGAGATGCAAGAGGAAGACATCGAAAAATACAGCAGAAACCTGCCTGTTGGGACAGAGGAGCTGGAAAGGGAAAGCACCCTTTGGGAAAGGCCCTGGGGGTGCCAGTGCCAGCAGCTGGACACGAGCCCAGGGTGCCCGGGGGGCAAGAGGCCAATGGCCCCCGGGCTGCCCCAGCCAGGGTGTGACACAGCCCCAGGGCAGTGCCCGTCCCTGTGCTGGCACTGCTGGGGCACCTCCAGTGCTGGGGACAGCTCTGGGCCTCAGGCCAAGGGAGACACGGAGGGGCTGGAGCGTGTCCAGGGCAGGGAACGGAGCTGGGGAAGGGGCTGGAGCCCCAGGAGGGGCTGAGGGAGCTGGAAAGGGGCTCAGCCTGGAGAAAAGGAGGCTCAGGGGGACCTTGTGGCTCTGCACATCCCCCTGCCAGGAGGGGACAGCTGGGGGAGTCGGGCTCTGCTCCCAGGGAACAGGGACAGGAGCAGAGGGAATGGTCTCCAGCTATGAGCGGGAGATTTAGATTGGAAATTCAGAAAATAGTCTTCGCAAAAAGGGGTGTGAAGCCCTGGCCCAGGGAAGTAGTGGTATAAGTTCTTAACATCCATGTGGTTTGGTTTTGTTTTGTTGTTTTTTTTTTTTTTTTTTTCCAAGGCACCTTTACAGAAATTTAAGTGATTTCTGAAACAATCAGCATGGAAAGGATTGGTGAAGAATTACATTTCATAAACACATGCCAAAGTAGCTAAGGATTTTTCACTTAACCTTTTCAATTCCCAGAAGGGGAATCCATGGGAATCTGTGGTTTTACCAATCTCTCTGGATTAGCAGATCAATCACACTGGGCTTGAGTTTCAGCACTTTCTCACTGGCAGACTGAATCCTGTCTCACATATGAGACATAAAATCATCCCCAGCTGGAGATTGAAGGACTTGGGGGGAGAGGGGGGGGATTCTGCCCCTGTGCTCAGGTGAGACCCCACCTGCAGAGCTGCCTCCAGCCATCACAACAGCACATCAACAGCACAAGGACATGGAGCTGCTGGAGCCAGACCAGAGGAGGCCACGGAGCAGCTGCCAGGGCTGGAGCCCCTCTGCTCTGGAGCCAGCCTGGCAGAGCTGGAGCTGTTCACCTGCACAAGAGAAGGCTCCAGGGAGAGCTCAGAGCCCCTGCCAGGGCCTCAAGGGGCTCCAGGAGAGCTGCAGAGGGACTGGGGACAAGGCAGGGAGGGACAGGACACAGGGAATGGCTTCCACTGCCAGAGGGCAGGGACAGATGGGATATTGGGAAGGAATTGCTGGCTGGGAGGGTGGGCAGGCACACAGGGTGCCCCAAAGCAGCTGTGGATGCCCCAGCCTTGGAATTGTTCTGGCCCAGGTTGGAAGGGTCTTGGTGTGGTGTTCAACCCTTTAGGGGAATGGAGCATCTAAGGTGCTTGTGGTCAAAAGGAATGACAAAATTCAGAGTGCTCACAAAAGTTTTCCAAGTTATATTACACACTTGGCATGGAAATTAATGGTAGTCTCTGACCTCCTCATGTAACACCAGGGCAGTAGGTTCTGGATAAAGGGGTAGGGTGAAAGGGAAGAAAGCAGGATTAAAGAGCGGGAAAAAGGAAGAAGGAGATCACCAGGCTTAGTTCCAGTGTTGATCTGGCTGGTGTAATGTCTAGGGTCCTGGGTGCCTGCACATAAGGTCTTTGTGGGGGCACCATTTTTAGATGAGTTTCCCTGCCCTAGAGGTTACTTTCTCACTTTCTATGCAAATTTATAATCTATAGTTCCTTTTTCTAGACCTTTCTGAAAATGAGTTGGAGGACTTCAAGGGTCTCTGGTGTCTTGATTCCTGTACAGTCTTAAGACTGCTTCTTGGCTTCATTGCTGTGCTGTGCTGTGCTGTGTTTGTCTCCAGGAACTAGAACAAGGATGTTTATCCCAGATAAATGCTGCCCTATCTCTGAATGGTCCCTTCTCCTGTTCTTCCTCACAGCTGTGTTTTTTACCAACAAACCTTGATCTTGTTACCAACAATCCTTGGTTGGCTCCACAGTTATCCAGCTACAGGTGTCTGAGGCCCACAACCTCTTATCTTCTGGGCTTCTATACTCGGGGCAATCAAATTTAATCCATGAAACAGCAGCTAACAAGCAAGCTCTAAGTAATGTTCATGTGTTAAGAGAAAACAAATTACTTGTTGGTGGAATTCTCTTGTCAAACTTGATATGCTTCAATGGGAAGGAAGGATGTACCACTGATAGTGGGAACAGAGAATGCAGAGTCTACAGGCCACAAGGACATGTGCTTGAACTTCCAAGATGAGGAAGAAACTAATAAAGTGAACCCAGCATCTGTGCTGAAATCAGTTCTGACTGGGTAAACAGCAATACTGGCAGGGGGAATCTGTGACAGCTGACCCAAGAAACCCACCAACTCAAGAGAAGAGAAAGACTGGGCATGAGAAACAATAGAATAATAAACCAATAGAACACCAATTAATAAGAGAACTATGTAGCACATAGCCAGTGAATGCTAGTTCCTTTGTATGCTAAAATGTATAAATTGTGAAGCTTTTTGATTGTTCTGGAATACCACTGAACACCCAGTCTTGCACAATACTGCAATAAATAATCAATGTCTGTCTTGTGTGTCTAATTATTGGCTTATTGCACAACAGGTAAGGAATTGAATTTTTGCAGACAGCATTGTCATTACCCCATCCCTGCTGAGCCCCACCAGATTTACACCCCTCAAGATTTAATCAGTAGCAGGGCAGCTATGATTAAGCAGCTGTATATTGTGAGCATTGTGCTTGGCGAATTTTTTTAAGGAAACCAAGATTCCAAGAGGAACGGCTATTTGGATGGGAGCCATGAGGACTGAAGTCAGCAGAACTGAGCCATCAGTACCTGGGAGAAGAATAATTCTGGCAGTGGCAGCTTGTGGCCAGCATCTCATTGACGACCAGCTCATAACAGACTAAAATGAAAAGCGAGACATCTAAGCAGCAAATAAGCATCTCAGTGGTAATAAATTGAAGTGGTAGTTCACAGAATGGTACTGAGAAGTTATGTAACTTGAAAGCAATGAATGCTGGCGCCTTTGGTTGTTGAAACGTGTAACATTTTGATGATGGATATCCTAAGCCCCCAACTACCTGCTTTGTGCTAACTAGAAAAAGAGAAAAAAATACCTTGCCTCGGTGTGTGAAATGGTGCTGCACACCGGGGAACAAGCCCGCGGGATAACACTTTTGTCCCTGATTCTGTCCCTGTCCTTATCCCCGTTCTTTTCCGTGCCCCTGTCCCAGCCCTTGCCCTTGTTCCTTTCCGTGCTCCTGCCCTTGTCACTATCCACGTCCCCGGCCTTTGTCCCTGCCCCTACCTCAGGGCCTGACCTATTCCCTTATTCCTTCCCGTGTCCGCGCCCTTGTCCCTATTCCTTCCCGTGTCCCATCCCCGGTCGTCCCTCACTCCCCGCCCCTTCCGCCCCTCAGGGCCATTTAAAGGACACCTCCTGCTGCGGGCTTTTTTTTCCTAAAAGCCTCATTTAGCTTTTTTAATTAATATTATTAGTATTATTGTTATTGCATATTCTACACATTCGCGTGCAGACAGATAGGCAGACACACACACGCATCCAAACCAGGGGCACGGGAAGCGCTTCCGTGCCCGCCCCGCCCCGTGGGCGAGGCCTCGGCGCCAAAAGGGGCTTGAGGCGCCGCCGCCATTTTGCGCGCAGAGCGTGTGGCCGGCCGTCCTCAGCGTGCCCCAGCGCCAGCCTCCCCCGGGACCCGCCGCCGCCGCGATGCTCTCCGCCCGCGTGGCCGCCGCCCTCGCCCGCTCCCTGCCGCGGCAGGCCGGCCTGGTGAGCGCCATCCCCGCCCCGGAGTCGGCGGGGCCGGGGGGACGCGGCGGCGCCGCCATCTTGGGGGCCGCTGTGACATTGAGGGTGTGAGGGGGTGACATCGGAGTGTGGGGGAGGAAGCAGGGGGTGTACTGTCAACGCTGTGGGACAGACCCGCTGAGGAACGGGGTGTCCTTGCCCAGGCTCAGGGTGGTGGTTTAAAGCTCCCAGGGAAAGGGTTGTGGGGGTGAGGGGTTTATCCCATGTTGGTGAGGAAATGAAGGGTGGGAAGAGGATGAGGATCACTCCTGGCAGTATTTCCAATGACTATGAACGGGGGAGAGGCTTGCTCGGGGTGCAGGATATTAAGTGGCATCATTGCTGCAATGGTGCTGCACTGGGAGCGTTGCTAGAAGTGCAAAAGAATGACCTTGTAATGCGTTCATTATTACAGATTTTTTTCTTCTTTAGCGTTCAAAATCGGCCATGAGAAGAGTTTCTTCTCAGGAATGGTGATTAGACATTGCAAGGGGCTGCCCAGCGGGCTGGTGGAGTTATCAGACTCAGAGGTGTTCAAGGATATAGTGCACTTAGTGCCATGTTCTAGTTGGCAAGGTGGTGTTTGTCATAGGTTGGATTCAATGACTTCAGAGCTTTTTTCCAAAGTAAATGCGATTTTGAGATATGTATTTTGAGATATTTTTTGTTATAGTGTTTTGTGGATTTTTTTTTTTGTGGGTGTTTTAACAATACCAAAATCACTGCAGTTAGATTTGTGTTAGGAGACACAACTTTCTCTCTGTGCAGAGCCCTGAATGGTGCAGTGATTTCCTTACGCCCCAGGGTTCTCATATTCAGCACAGAAATGACAAATATGAGGAGGTTTCTCTTTGGGAGCTGCTGCAGCGACTGATGGCGACATCAGCGCATTGCAGAAAAATGCAGCGAGACATTTGGAGCAATGTCCTTCAATATGTCTTTCCTTAGTGGTGCTGGACCTGGTTCCACAG